GCAGTCAATAAGACTCATCTTCCAGAGTTCAAATCTGCCCTCAGACACTAACTAACTTTGTGATCCTGATCAAGTCACTTAACCCTGTTTGCCTGTGTTTCCTTATCTGTAAAACGAGCTGGAGAAGGAAATTGCAAACCACTCTTTGCTAAGAAATCCCCAAATGTGGTCACGTACACTCAGACATGACTGAAAAACGACTCAACATTTACTTGTCAGGCACTATGCAAAGTACTTTTTACAAATGTTATCTCACTTGATAAATGCTTGTTAGATTCAAATAAATATCATTGCTATCCCATTTATACACTGTTGGCCTCAAGTCAGCACTCATGAATCTCAAAGGGACCCAGAGAGTGAGATAGGCCTATGTGAATCTCAGGAATGTATTCTAGCCCCAAACTTGCCATAGGAAGATCTCTTCAGACTTGAGTCAGCCTCAGATTTCTGAATGATACCAAAGAACAGAGTGGCCTTGAGAGTAGCGGGGGGGTTGTCTGATTTTTCTTATTAGTTAAAGGGATTTTAGAGGAGTTTAAGATTGATCTCCAGGAAAGTTTAAAAACCAATACCACCACATCTACCACTCTCAGAAATTCTCTTAAGTTATCTTGCCATGTGGATATAGGTTCTTTTGTATTATCTTTGTCTAAATCTATAGCTAGGTATAATCTAAGGTACTAGGATGTGGTGGTGAGAGGTTCACCCCACAGCCCAGCAGTGCCAAAAACAATTCCACTGAACTCCATTGAGATTTCCTTGACAAAGGAATTGCATCTGGTACTTTATGTGCGATGTTACATCTCAAACCTTCTTGTGTATACATTGAATAATGAAAATCTAATACCATGAGGGAATGAAACATTTATGAGCCTGGATTAATTCAGAAATGGGTGTCACTTTTTTGTTATATTTAGCATACTGGATGCTTTCAGTGAATTGCAAACTGATGACATTGGAATTGATTCAAACAAGTTCTCCACCCTTTTTGTTGTTGGCCCAGTTATTTTCAAAAACAACTCCTCGTGAAGGAAATGATACACTTAATAATTAATGGTCTTAGCCAGATAAAGCACTAGAGTTATAAGCAATTTTGCCAAACCCATAAATTATCTCCCCAGATACATTTGGTTGAATCATGGATGTCCAATTCTACTTGTTATGCAAATGGCATTCAAACCACGTCTGTTTGAATTATAGAGTAGATTTATAATTTTTCAAAATCATCTTTAATAACATGTTTCAATTTAATTTTTTAATTTATCTATCACCTGTGTGTTTTATATACTTATCTGGAAATGCCTATACACATTCATAGAACTAACTATGGAACACAGATTCTGTGGAAGCCCTCAAGTAGCCTGCCCACCGAACCTGATGACTGATGATTTTTAGCAATCATTCTGAAAGATTAAGACAAGTTCAGAGGTCACAGGGACTATTCTAGATGTCACATTTAACAGCTGGATCCAACCCAACAAACAATTATTGAGCATCTACCTATTAAAGTCAAGTCAACAGGCATTTATTAAGCCTTTACTTTGTGGTAGGCCTTATGCTAAGAGGTACAGATATAAAGAAAGTTCACATCTTCACATTCTAATGAGGAAGACATCATGTAAATAATTAGGAAAAGATATAGGTATAGATACTATATGGAAGATAATCTCAGTGGGAAAAACACTAGCAACTATGATTACCTTTCTAGGCCTTCTGCAGAAGGAGGGATTTGATCTGAGTCTTTAAAAAGTCAAGGAAGCTAAGAGATGGAGATACAGGGAATGTCACCATGCATTGGTGACAGCAAGTGGAAAGGCAAAGATGCTAGAGATGGAATGAGTGTAAGAAGAATAACAAATAGATCACTGTTACTGGAGTGTATGGGGGAAAATAAATGTAAGACTGTGAAAGCCCCTGTGCTAGGCACTCTAGAGGGTCCCTAGAGTTGAATGTCATGCAGTCCTTATCCTCAAGGAGTTTATAATTCTAGCAGAAGTGAGATTATTTTTAACTATAATCCAAGTTAGAATAAAGGCAAGTATAAGTAAAATATTATTCCAATAATTCCATTATTAAAAATCTATCCTAAAACTATTCTCAAAAAGAAAAAAAATAAGAGCTAAACTTTCACATTAAAAAACCCAGCATTATTTCTAATTACAAAAAAAAATAATAATAAATCCTCAAAGACACCTAAATATACAACAATGGGGAATTGCTTATCTAACTTATGGTGTATCACTGTACTAGAATATTATGATGCAATTAATATCAGCAAGTATAAGACCATTGTAAAATAATGAAAAATTAAAAAAGAAAGAGTACATGCTAATTAAGGCCATATAAAAAGAAAAGTGATGGAAATAAATGGACAAGCAGAGATAGAGATTTAGAAGAAATGACTGATTACAGTTTATGCATTAAAATTCATTTATCTGTGAGTAATTGCCAAGCCAGACTAATGGCTACATTGATGTTTAAGATTAAATTTAAATAATATTTAATATTAAGATAATAAATCATCATCCAAAAAAAATAATGAAAGGATTTGTTCTGCAAAACTTGGACTCAGTCAAAAGGCCTCACTCAAGAACCTAGAAGGTCACATGTGGCCTCAGGGCCACAGGTTCCCCACCCCTGTGCTAGATGCTAGGAATAAAATGGTCATATTAAAGTACAGGCAAAATGGAAACAAGTTGGTGAGTAGTGGATGAGTACTAGCACCTAGAAGGATCAGGGTAAGCTTCATGAAGAAAATGCCACTTGAGGTGAGGACTGAAAGAAGCTAGAAATTCTAAGAAGTGGTAGCGAAGAGTAATTACATTGGAAATCTATATTTATAAGAATAGGAAGAATACCATGACTAGACCATATAATACATGAAGAAGAATCGTTTATAACAACATTGGGAAGGTAGGCTTTAAATGACAGACCGTAAACACTCTTAGAGGTAACATGGAGCTGCTTGGAGCCAATTGCATAAGAGAATGACATGGTCAGATCTACACTTAAAAATGATGTTTGGCAGCTGTGTGGAAGGATGGGTAGGAGTAGGGTGAGATCTGAGGCAGGGAAACCAATGAAAAGATGACTGCAATAGTGATGAGAGCGCCAGCTGGGGTGGTGGTTGTGTAGGTGGGAAAAAAGGGGACAAACATGAGAGCTACGGTGAAGGTAGAAATGACAGGGTTTGGCAAGTGATTTATATATGCTGTTTGAGAGTGGTGAATTGACTATTCCATTGAGGTTATAAACCTGGGGGACTAGAAGGATGGTGATGCCACAGGGAGAGTGACCTAAACTAAAGGAACAGCAAAAGTGAAGGAGAGGAGTCAGGAAAGCATGAGGGGCATCTGGGAATTAGTGGGTTTGGCTGGAATGTTTAGTCTGTGTAATGCAATAGTCAGAGATAAGATGTCAAAGGTAGATCGGGATCAGAAACTAAAGAACCTTAAGTGTCAGACTGAGGAATTTAAACTTAATTGAAGAAGCAATGGATTTTTGAGGAAGGGAGTGACATGATTAGCTTTAGGTCAGGTGGACTCATACTAGATTCAGTGGAGTTCATGAAGTACTGGGGAAGGGGTGAAGATTGTAACCATTGTCCTAGGTCTTCAAAATGCTGTAGAGATACTAGGTCAGTGATTCAACACTAGAATGTTTCTGTCACCTCAGCCCCAAGGAAGAGTTGAAAAGGAGAGGGATGCTCAGCAGCAGTTCTACCTTGCCATTCATGAAGGGAGGAAGGGAAGAAGGAAGGAAGGAACTGCAAATATAAGCAAAATGAAAGGTAGTCTCTGCCCTTAAGGAGCTTAATTCCTAATGGGATAAGATAACACGTAAAAGGGAGGCTGAAAAGGGAGGGAGAAGCCTAGAATGTCAGGAACAGAGCCAGGAAGGGAAAGAAGGCAGAGCAGTCTGGGCCCTTTCACAAAATGGAGGTTCAAAGAAGAACTCACCAATGGGAGAAGGGGCTGAGGGGCTTGTGGAGGGTCTTCTTGGGGTATTCAAGGCAAGCAAGCCTAGGAGACTTAAAGAAGTTATAGGATGAGACGGTAGTAGATCCGTAGAAACAAGTAAATTGAGGTCAGGTTGAGGGAAGATATATTTTAACCCTACAAAGTGGTTTATTTACTGTGAGGAATGCTTCTGAACATGATGTTACATATTAATGTGTTCATTTGTACTATTTTTTCAGCTATTCTAGAATTTCTCTATTTTCACATGTAATTATAATTCAAAGTGGGCAATTATAATTCTGATGCTATTACTTTCAATTCTGTTACGATAAATACCACTACAACAAAAATCTTTGCATAAACAAAAAACTGGTAAGTCCCAGCAAATTGTTTGATAGCAAAGTTCAGTGAAAAGAGCATTGCATTTGGAGTCAAAAGACCTGGATTCAAGTCCTGTCTCTGATCTATCCTGGCTGTGTTACCTCGGGCAAGTCTCTGAGCCTCAGTTAATGAAATTTGCATTTCCCACCTCGCAGTGTTGTCTCGATAAGGCAATGAAAACATAAATATAAAAATACTTTCTAACCATAAAGTATAATAGAAAAATAACTTATGACTTTACAGAGTATTCATTATAACAGATTCCAGCACGACAAAAGAATTTAGATAATCTCATAGTTTGAGGTGATGATTATATATTATGAATGTACAAGAACAAAGTAAACAGTCACTAGTATATGATTATGATTATTATTTTAAATGGTTCTCATAAAAACAAATATATGATGGGAAAAATATAGATAGTTTCTTATAATCTATTGTATTAGGAATTTTAACACTGTACTGATATTTCGTTTTCAGTACTTGCAGAATTTAGTATAAAAACCCTGTTTCCTTCTTCCAAGTAATCACATAACACCAAAGGGCTTGTAGTTGTAGACAAAGAATGCTTTTGGATTTTTCATAAATCCTATTTCTTATTGGCCATCTTCCCTTCTGAAATTCATTATCTTTGGGTGTTTTTTTTTTTCCCCACCCTAGGTATGGATGTGTGGAGGAGGAATGTTTGACGTTCCATGTTCTAGAGTTGGTCATATCTACAGGAAGTACGTCCCTTATAAAGTTCCATCTGGGACCAGCTTGGCAAGAGTGAGTAACTGGGTTCCAGAACAGTTTTGGATTGAAATTAGGGCTGTCCTTGAAAGCAGGCAGTCACCTACCTGTGTAATATGAGTAGAAATGTAGCAGTCCTTCCCCCCTCTAAAAATATCAACCCTTTAATCTGTCATTCCATTATTCCTTTGACTATTAAGGCTTTTTTAGGATTTAGGAATCCCCTCTAACCACTGGCAGCTTGATCAGATGACACCCTAATAATCAAATAGCACTTTAGTAAACTGGTAACCAAGGGTAAGACCCTACAGAATAGTAAACAGGATAGACAGAAAGTTGAGGCTGGGAGACAGAAAAGGGGCTTCTTCAGAAAGACGGCAGGACGCCAAAACCAAACTTTACCCTATTGCACAGCGGTGTCCTTGGAGCTGGCCCTGATCGAAATCTTTTCTTTGGTGTCAGAGTTCTCAGTCAGGTTGCCCTCTTTTTCTAAGGGGCTAGTACTAAGTCTCTGTTTTTAAAAGATGCTGCCTTTAATGAGCTGCTTTTCTCACCTCGGGGGCAAATGCTCTTGGCTTTTTTGGTCCAGGAATGGAGTGCAAAGTAGTGAAAGCATTTTAGGTGTCAGAGTATTTTAAGTGTCAAAGCTGGGATCACAATAATTGTGACCATCTCCCACCCTAAGACTTTCTCATTCTTTTGATTTTCCCCCAAATGCCTTCCATATGCCCTTCTACTTGATTGTGCCCGGTTTCATTCTTACATAAAATATTCTTGCTACTGTTCAGATGTGATAATATCAGAAACCCATTCATTTGGTTTCCTTTTGAAGAAAAGCAATGATTGAGAACTTGTATCATTCAAATCAAGGAGGGAGGGATGAAATCATGGTCTGATGCTGAGGTTGCCATTTATTGGCTTCTGCTCTGAATCCAGACCCAGGTTCACAAGTTCACTCCATAGATCTCTCCTGGAACCCTGAGATATTTCTTGTCTTACCAGAGGCTTCTTTCAGGCATAATGAAGACAACTATGACTTCATAAGAGGATCTTTCTGTAGCTACTAGAGGCGTTCCATTCCAGCATCACAGACACCACCAGTCCCCCAGGCTCTTTCCTGCCCCTTTCTCCACTACACAAAGGAGCCGCCTAGGACAATACAGTTTTGTTTTGTTTTGTTTTTAATTTTTTGTCCTTTTTTTTTTTTGGTGAAGCGATTGGGGTTAACTGACTTGCCCAGGGTCACACAGCTAGTAAGTGTTAAGTGTCTGAGGCCAGGTCCTCCTGACTCCAGGGCTGGTGCTCTATCCAGTGTACCACCTAACTGCCCCAACAATACAGTTTAATACCGTTGAGTTGATGAGGTAGACTCTTGAAGTCCCAACTCCCAGACAGGACCACAGGGTAACATCTTCACTGACTCTTAGTCTAATGGCTTCACTGAAAAGTCTAGTTCAGGTAGTTAGAAGAGCCTCTCACCTGCCCTACAAAGTATACTGGATTTCTAATGAGAGATCCTGGGTTTAAATCCTAAGTCTGCCACTTATTAGTTATGTAATCTTAGACTGGCCGCTTCCTCATTTGTAAGGCAGTTGGGTGGTGCAATGCATAAAGTGCCTACCCTGAAGTCTAGAGGTCCTGAGTTCAAATCTAGCCTCAGACACTTACTAGCTGTTGCCCTGGGCAAGTCACTTAACCTTGTTTGCTTCAGTTCTTCATCTGTAAAATGAGCTGGAAAAGGAAATGGCAAACCACTCTAGTATCTTTGCCAAGAAAACCCCTAATGAGGTCACAAAAAACAACTGAACAAGTGGTATGATAGAGTGTGAACCTGGAATAAGGGATACCTGAGTTCAAATCTGTCCTCAGACACTTAATAGTTTTGTGACCTTGGGCAAGTCACTTAACCTTTATTTGCCTCAGTTTTCTCAACTGTGAAATGGGAAATCATAATCGCACCTATTTCCCAGGGCTGTTGTGAAGATTAAATGAGGTAATATTTGCAAAACATTTAGAACAGTGCCTAGGTAAGTGCGATATAAATGCTAGCTAGGAGGAGGAAGAAGAGGAGGAGGAGTAAAATGAGGTGGTTGTTCTAGGTAAACTTCTAAGATCCCTTCCAGTTCCAAATCATGGTCTTTTTCAGGAATCCAATTGAGAGTCATTTATATTTGTGCAAAAGCTTACTCTAGATCTGAAGGAACCAGCATTGTACAATGGAAAGGGCACTGGATTGGGAGTTAGAACTGGGTTCTTGTCCAAGCTTCCGCATAGATTCACTGCCTGATCTTCAACAAGTCATGTTTTCTCCCTGAGAATGAGGCATTACAGACAGACAATCCTAGTGCTATCCTGATATCCATTAGAAACATTAAAATTCGATGTTTTAACTCCTATGGTCTAAAATTTCTCTTCTATGTGAAGATTTCATAATTCAATAGTTAAATTGTAATATTTAATTTTTGATTTATTTTGCATAAATGGTAGGAAGTTCAACTATCCTGACATACATGGACACAGACATGGACATGGATCCATGAACTCATCAATGTAGACAGTCCTTTCGACAGCCCATCCCAACATTCTCATTCTGTAGAATTCTTATCCATAGCCTTCCATAAATTCTCCATAGAGGTTCTACCCTACATGTTTTCTTTATTCCTCTCCTCCCCAAGATGATAAATTTAGAACCATAGTGGACTTAAGAGACCATCTCATCCAGATGAAACTGAGGCCCACTGAGTTAAAGTGACCTTTTAATATTTAATGGATACCATCATAGCACTGACTGTCCATCTGTCTATCTACTCTATCACTTCTTCTCACTACACATGAATGGCCTACATCCTCTTACTTGTGTGTCCATAGTGATGCAAGTCATATGGTATAGTGGAAAGAATGCTGGATTTGGAATCGGAGGACACGGGTTCATATCCTGTCTCAGCTACTTATTCTGTCTGACTTTGAGTAAGTCACATAAGTTATCTGAGATTAATTCCTCCTTTGCAGCTTTAACTCAGTTATATCACATCTTGCATATCTCTTATTGTGGGCCTGTCATTGCTGGAAATATGCTGCAATCTCTTTATGCCCATAATACATCTCTCCATTGCCCTTTGGGTCTCCTGATATTTGTATTTTTCTCAGGCCGTATGTTCAGTGATTTATTGCCATCTAGCATCACTGAAAGAATGTTATAGTAAAAAAGAGAGAGAGAGAGAGAGAGAGAGATGGACTTTTATGTCAAGAAAAGCTTGATGCCATTGGCAGGCGCAGTCTCCCACGTCTGTTCCAACCCATTCTCCTCTTATCCGCTTCTGAGCCTAGCTTATTGTCTGTCTGCATTGTCCTGAACAAGATTTAGGTACTAATGAGCTAACTTGATGGGCTACTCATCTAGTGATATCACAATCTCTATTCTTCATCCACTTAAGTTTCCATCTCTGAATTACAGGCTTTTCAAATAAACACAAATGGCACAGAGAAAGATACACATAAAGATCACAAATTCTAATGTTACAATTTATCAAAATTTAGTAAAGTAGGAAAGTTTTGTGCATTTTAAATGGTCACTGGAATGGAACATTTTTTCCAGGAGGAACTTAATCACAAAATTGTCATTAATTGTATACTTTTTTTTCTTATTCACCTTCTCGGGGGGGGGGGTGGATTTCTTGCCAAAGTTTACCTTTTTTTCTATGTCAATGACCCTTCTTGGCTGAATCAGAATGCATGCTAAGGAATTCAGACTACACAGTCTTATGAACGTAATATGGTTAGGGCTGCCAACCTTTCAGTATTTAATCAGTAACGTTATTCTAGTGTGTCGTCTTATGACTTTTTGTAGTAGTTCTTGTTGTGGTTTAGATTAGAAATAGTAGTATTTATTCCTCTGACAGAAAAAAAAATCCTTCACTCATTAGCATACTCAGAATGTTATGTTGTATGCAAATATCCCTATTAACAAAACAATATTCAACATGCAATGAAATAGCTGAGACAGCTTGGAGTGGGAGAGAGAAAACAGAAGAATAGGGATAGGAACTAGATTGTGGTCTCCATGGTGCAGAGCTCCCAGGAAGGAATGTCAATACCTTCTCTATAGTTTTCAAGTCTCAGAGAGCTGCCTTGGCTTTTGAGAGGCTAAGTGTCCTGTTCCAGGTCTTACAGCTTTCAGAGAAAGGGAAGGAACTCAGGTCTTCCTGGCTCCAAGGTCAGCTCTCTATCCACTGTGCCAGGCTGCCTTCCATAACCTATTTATAAGACGATACATAGGTATAATTGGGGAAGCTAGGTGGCACCATAGTGCACAGAGTACCCTGCCTGGAGTCAGGAAAACTCATCTTCCTGAGTTCAAATCCAGCCTTAGACACTTACTAGCTGTGTGACCCTGGGCAAGTCACTTAACCCTGTTTGCTTCAGTTCTTCATCTGTAAAATGAGCTGGAAAAGGAAATGGCAAACCAGTATCTTTGCCAAGAAAAATCCAAATCGGATCACAAAGAATCAGATACAACTGAAAAAATGACTGAACAACAAAAAAGGTATAATTGCATGGTTGATAAAGTGATTATACACAGATAAATAGATAGATACACATTCATATACATACACATATGTGTATATTATATATATGTGTATACATTTACATGTATGGAATATGTTTTCTGAGCTCTTTTTCCAGAAATAATTAGAGTTCTATGCCACTCCACAAACACTCTCACCTTCTTTCCATTTTAGCCAGAGTGATGCATTTGCAAGGTAACTAATCAGAGGTCAGAGGTGTGAGGTGTAGTTAAAGGCACTGGAACATAGCATGAAACATCCAGTGATTCTACCTACAAGAGGTTTAGGACAGTGTTCTAGAATGGTTGAGTTTTAAGAAATTAAAACTTTTTATTATTATTCTTGAGGGAGGATTTAGGAATTTTTCAAACACCATCTAGTGACAGAAAATTAGGGCTGACAACTCTAACTCCCAGGCAAAAAAGTCAGTATTTATTCAAATGGGGAAAAGTCCATAATCCTGAATTTTAA